TAAATTGATTGAAAGTCATATCCGAATTCACGCGATCGTCAAATATATGCTTCATATTTATTTCGTCTTGTCGAAAAATTGCCAACAAATTAACGTTATCTCTTACAAGATGTTTAGAAATACGAGCATACGTTAATAAGAGATAAAAGCTGTCAAAGCTTCTATGTCTACCCATACAAAAGAAAGCACGTATGTTGTTCTGTTTCTCACAGACAATGTCGTCAAGTATCATAATCGAATTAGGCAGTGCATGCTCGGGGTCGATCACGGATTTGTGCTTCTTGAACGAAAAATACTTTACTCCATCTATGGGCTTTAACATCTCTTCCAATAATTTATACTTTGGCTGATTGAGAAATTTCAAGAACATGTAAACATTTTCGAATCTAACACCATTGGGATGAGTCATAAGCGCCAAAAGACTGTTGGTCTTACCACAGTTGGCCGGACCACAAAAAATAGCTCTAATGCTATTTGTCAGTAAATCTCCATGACGATTTGGTAGTTTATTTTCCCGTACGATGACGTCAAAAATTTTGACAGGAAGTTTTAGTTTCTTCTTTAAAACCTATGTTCATGAGACAATGTTCAAACAGCAACTGACCCCCATACATATGTATATATATAAAATTCCTTTCTTGTTTATTGTAACACCCATGTTATAATACATAAATAAATACTACGTCTACTGTTCTCGTGCGATTTGTCTTAATTTGTTATTCCACCTATCCTGTCGATCCCTCGAGTTTCGCGTTTAGGCATGCGGGTCTAGCGCCCCGACATTGGAGCCACGACGCCCTGACAACACCTGGTGGATGGAAGTCCCAGGTAGGAGACAAGCCGAGTCATTCAGCCTAACCGAGCCCGGATTCAACTCGTTTCCACTTATTATCATTAATTCTTTATGTTAACGGGATAAATCTCCGTTATAAATTGTAATATTAATTTTTTGAAATACGTAAATGTTTTGCTGATTTTCGATCAGTCATTGATTAGTATTTTTCTGAAAAGTTAGATCCAAATTTTGTTTATACAGTAAATGAATTTCGTCAAAGCTATGTAGATTTATATATTAATGTTACTTCTAAAGCTCATGTAGTATTTTATCACGTATCATATTTCTGTCTAAAAAATAACAAAGGGCTTGAGGTTTTCAGTGAAAAAGCAATGGAATCTGTTCATTATGATCTAAAAAAGATTTGGATAAAACGTAAAGTAGCCAGCACACACACCCTGAGTTTACAAATCATTTACTAAAAAGTATATGACTACAATGGTAGTCATTTGTAAGCTACCACAAGCGATTAGTTATATTTCTTCATTATTTTGCTTTAAAAAGTGTCAAATTTATTATATATTTATAGTTGGAAAGTATAAATAAATTATCTTTAATTTATAATTAATCATATTATTTATTTATAAAACCATAACCACTTGTTACTAAAACATTAGCGCATCACAATACGAGTAAATTCTACAAAATGTCGATAAAAAACTTTAACATAGCAAAAACAAAAACGGCTGAATTTTAGATTTTGATTTCACTTGGAATAGTTTTAAAAAATGTCCTACAATCATATTCAGAAATAAAATCCATAGGTATTTTCCATTCGATTAAAATTTTTTTAAACACACCATGGACTATTCCTCTTTCGAAAATATGAAATCCGTTACTGTATATCCTAATCATAACCGTAAATACGTAACCACGTTCACACATCAAAATGTCAAATTTTCAAAAAAGTTTTACATAAATATTTGCTGTATAGATTGCTAAGAGAGCGATGAAATTATTGAAGGATTTCTATAAATGACTTATAACGTGTGATAAATCACTCGTTATGTCTCTCTTTCTCAGTCGACCATATTTATTTATGTACCTATATACTTATATATATCTATATTTTTTATTTGGTATAATATTAATTTATGTACAATGTCTAGAAGTAGCAGCAGCAGCGGGCAATAGAGTACAAGGTAAGAGAGAGAGAATACATATAATGCAACGCGAACTAGCGAGAGGGAGGATAGACTCGTGTGCGCTTAAATTGAAGGTATGCTCATGTGCGAGAGTAGAGACTGTCGCGCGATAAGAACCGATATATGTTCGGCAGAGAAGGAGAGAGAGTGGGGAGCTCTTCCGCGGCACTAGCTTGTGGATCGTGTCCGAAAGCGCACGTGTTCTCGCCGGCCGGCTTTCGCATTGTAAATTGACAACCTCTTTTCGACTCTCACCTTGGCCTTGTGGTAGCTCAAAGGAGAAACAACCGATTGTAATTTGTGCATCGAGAGTGCCGTGTGAGAGAGTGCGTGGGATTAAGCGAGTGCTAGGATGTCGCCAGGTTCGCTGTATTTGAGCGTCAAGTAGGGCTCATCCGTGGTCCAGTCGTCCTATGTAAGTACCTTCTCGTATCCTCTGTCTCTCTCTCGCTAGTTTATTATTCTCTCTCTCTTTATCGCTGCACTGCACTCCTTGTAAACCCTTATATTATATAAACGCCGTTTTATCTTATATGTACCTTCCTGTTATTTACACCTAACTCTACTGCCTTCCACGTTCCCCCGTCGATAAATTAATACGAAGATTAGCTGCTTGATCCACGACGCTCCCGCGGGCCTTAAGGCATAACTAGGCATCCGGGCATAGCCTCGTGCGGTTATTGTATGCCCGCAACGAGCTGCACATAATATTCTTCGTTCTCTCGCGAAATAACGCGGGCAAATAACAACCCCGTTATAGACTTTAGAATAAGATTTATTTTTATCAATAAAAAAATTTTATTTAAGATAAAACAAAATTTTTAATAAATGATTATTATACTTGTAGAATGAGATAAAGTTTTATGAATAAAAAAAATTTTTAATTAAAATACAATGTTTACTTTTGACAGCCAACATAGATAGTAAGAACTATCAAGAGGTAAAAGCAGCCGTGGCTTAGTTGGTAGAGATACGGTCTGTGGATCCATAGGACGCGAATTCGATGTCCCATAGTTTCTGTTCAATTTTTTCACTGAACTAAGTCTGCATTACATTATATATAGATATATGCATAAATTATATCATTTAAATAAATTAAAGTAAATTAAATTACCCATAAATACATTTTAATATATATGTGACGAGAGTAGGCAGTTGCCTGTTTCTCGTCGGTCCCTGTACCTCCCCCGCTTTTCTCTCAGTAAGGCTCAGTGGTCAGTATTGGGCGCACTTTCTCTATGCGCCTAATACTGTACCTCTTTTTCAGCCGCCATAAATTACCAGGCCAGGCTAAGATAGCCTAAGGAGAGCGAGAGAGAGTGTTAAAGAAGGAAAAACGTAAGAAGACACTGCAGTTGAAGAAAGAGCGAGAGAGAACTAGAAAAGAGAGAGAAAGAAAGAGAGAAAGAGCGCACACTAAGCGGTTATTAGGCAGGCGGGCGATGCGCAACCAATTAGCGCTTCGTCGCACGCCGCCTAAAAATGGGGTAAGTAGGGATAGTTTGCGAGAGAGCGGTCACTGCCTGCGCAGGAGTATAGCGTGGCGATACTCTACGTCAGCTATTAATCGAGGTCAGTTGACCAAGGTATTAACTCGCACTGCCATCATCTGCCATTGTTCCTCGCGAAGAAAAGGTTGGCTGCTTTCTATCCTGAGCATCCCCACGCCTTTCGTCATAGCGCGTACCACCTGCAGCAGCGACAACGACGAGAAGCCGAACAGTTGGCCTGCCCTACAGTTGCCACCTTCGCCTCCCAGGAATCATCGAGGAGAAAACAAAGGTCAGGTTATCTGTCTCCCCCGGTTATTCTCTTTCTCTCTCTCGCAGTGATGTGCGACCGCGCGAATTACTAGGTAGCCAGGTGATCAATTGCCGGCTGCCATTGTTTAATTCCTTTTTGTCGGTAATTTGTATTGCGTGTTTTGTTTAGTTGTAAGTGCACGGTAGCCAGGCAATCACTCGCCGGCTACTTTACGAGTATATTTATATTAGAATAAGTTATTATTCCGTTAAGGTACAGCATATTGTAGACATAAGCTAAAGATGCTTCGATTTTTGATTATATTATAGACGTACAATTAAGGTGTTTATATTTGATTAGTTTAAGCGCGCGTTTATTTGAATTATAAGATAATAAAAGGTTTGTCATTTGGTATTAAATAAAATTGGTTAATTTTCCCACTTACTCTTCCGATTGCATCTAGAACGAAAGAGCCTCTCTTACCTTCCCCTTTAAAAATAGGTAACAGCGTGTCAAAACTGTTACATATACTTGAAACGTATTTTAGATTTAAGGGAAAGGTGTTCTCGCCTGTGATCTAAGAGTGCTGATCTGATAATTCATGTAATTCAGATCACTGATCTGAGGTTTGCACTGATCTAAGGCCCTTCTGATCTGTGGCCTCTCTACTTTACTTATTTATAGTTTAAAGAAAAATATTCCATTATAAACATATAAGCTTATTAATCATTGTAGAATTGATTTCTATATAGTTATAATGATATTCCATATTTGTTCATAAACTATTTTTAAACATCCTATATTAAATTAAATAAAGAGAAATATTAAAATTAATATCCATATTGTCACGGCAAGGATATTTTAACTGGGCTTTTGCTTGTCTTATTTGACTTTCTTTCTTGTCTTTTTATCTCTCTCTATCTTTTATTAATAATATCAATTTTTCTATCTATCTACTTTACCTTATCTCTCTCTCTCTCTTTCTCTCTCTCCCTCTCTCTCTCTCTCTCTCTATTTGTATCTTTTTGATTTCTCTAGACAAAAAGCAGATACTTTTATCTGTAAAAATTTGACATAAAATAAGTTTTCGGTAATTCTAGAGATTCTGTAATAAAGTGAAGTGAATTAATTTAAAAAAATGGAAATTTTTCTAAGCTTTCTTTAAGGAAACATTAAAGTAAACAGTAAAAATAAGTAGATTTACTGTATACGCCATCCATTATTTTGTATAGATATATTAAGCATAGTAAACGTTAACATAAGATAATAATAGTTACCGATATCTGCAATAGCGCTCGAACTATCAGCGTCTAGCCGTTCGCTGAATATTTCTGGATTATCTGATTGAAATTCCATCTGTTTGAATTTGCTACAGTTAGTAGGATTTGTAGATAATACATTCCTTTCAATGCTTTTACCATCGGAATTGGATAAACTTTGTCTATCATTGATTCGGTTGTTTGTATTACTAAATATGCTGTCAATCGGTAAAGTTTCAAATGATCTAGTGGATCTTTTTTCTTTGACAAATACTGTACGCCAACTTTTTTGTTTCCCTATCTGGAAGTACTTCACCTTAGGTAATGTTTTGTATAAGTTACATCTTTTGCACATTATTGTATTGTTATTAAGCTGCTGATGTTGAATAGTAGAACAAGCGGCATTCATGGTTAAGGTTTTATTCAAACTCTTTGTATTCGAACATTTGACATTCTTGAATACTTTTGTATCTTTAGAATCAAAGCTGATATTTAGTCGGTCAGTAAAATGACGTAATCGTGATATTAATGATTTTTGATTATTTACCTCAGGTTTATCGTCACAGCAGCAATAGGCCAAGTGCTCATGATAGGTCATGTCATTGTAGAGTAGTTGATTCTGAGAATAATCGGAGGTTACTCGGGCAGTATTTACCATCTGATTCTTGGTGACATTATTGGAATTAAAGGACTGGGAACAATCAGTATCAGTGGTTGAACTTTCGTAACTAAGAGTACGTTTATTGCGATGTTTGTATCGGAGTTGTTGATCGGTGTTTGGGGTGAAGCAGCCGTTTAGTATCGCTTGGTCCTCGGTAAATAACATTTTAACGCGTTGTTGAGCATCACGTTCAACTTCTTTATGGATGTGCATTTCGTCAGTGGAACAAAAACTTTGAGGCGAATTTAGCTCGTTATACACGATTTCATCTCGAATCTTTTGATGCTCATGCTCGTAATTATAATAGTCAAGTGAAGACTTTTCTCGACTACCCTTACGACTGCCTGGATAAGATTTGCGACCAGAACCGCTAGCACCCTCGGTTGAGATTTTAAATTTAAGTGTTTTTTCACTCACTTCGACTTCGGTTACGGTCTCAGGGTCACTGATCGATAGATTTGTTGTACCGTCATACATTGAGAGTTTCTTATATTTACTATCATTCTGTTCATCTTCAATGGAATGTGAACGTGGATGTAACATACTTTTTGAAAGCTCTGAGCGCATCGAATTTATTGATGTCGATTTCATCATAAAATTTGATGATTGTTGTAGCTGCTCATCAAAATAATGACGATGATTTTGCTCTTGTTGAGTTTGCTTAACTCTATTGATTGACTGAATAGAGGAACACCTCATTATTGTTGTCATCTGTTCTTGACATTCGATATTCGCTTTATTTCCGTTGCTTGAAACCAGCACTTGCGAACCTAGTGCGTGCTCAGCCAGCTCAACTAAACTCTTACGTTGGAGCCGTTCATCTTTTGCTGCTTCATTTAATTGTCTGTAGTAATCAAGTGCATAGCGGACAGGTTCCACTATCAACTCCTGTGAAACATAATTATTTAAAAATATTGATTTCTTTTTAAATGTATTTATAAAACGAAAGAAATAAGGAAAAAATTATGTGGTAATATAAAATAATTGAATCCGCTATTTTCGTGCTATAAAAATTATATTGATAGAATTTTGGAAAAATATTTTTAAAGAAAACATAAGCTTTCAAGTGATAGAGTTTGATTTGACAGAATATTATAACTAATGCAATTTCATAAATTATTGTAAGCGAAATCCACCACGTGCTAAATTATTTGCATGTTATGAGTTCTTTTTTTATGATTAAAATAGCCTGCACGGATTCATGTCCTCAGGCAAAACAACGAATAACGATCAATACGCTGGGATCTGTACCTTTCTTTGAGGTACATATTTGCATTTATATTTACGGGAGTAAGCAAGGAAGAATGGAAAAATATGGAAAAATAATAAGTGGTGTTTATTAATATAATAAATCATATGTATAGCGGATGAGCAAGAAAATCATAATAATTTGTAGTATTGCAGATATTGAGACATAAGATCTGTAGCGGTTATTCGATCCTAAATGTTTTTAGGGCACGATACCAATCAGCGCGTCGTAAAAATAACTAAAAAGTGAAAGTTTGAACGTGGATGAACTTGCTATTACCAATGTACCGAGATAATCTCTTAGATAAGGCGCGCCTACTTTTAATATCTGGAAGCAATCTTACATAATAGAAAACTATAAAATAACAGGACAGGCGCGCCATTACTCAAAAATTTTCCAAAAAAAGGGAAACGGAGTTTTATGCGCGTTCGTGTAATTAATTAAGCCTTAAGCTAAGTTACCACTCTCGACCACTTCATCTCTCCCTCTCTCTCTACGGGCGGACTATGTAGCAAGCGCGACAGCCAATTTATTTGAAAGAAAGCGAAACGGAATGGAAGACGATGCCAAAGAGAAAGATGCATGGATGGATAATTAGAAAGTAAGCTTAAAAAAACTGCAAAAAATTCACCAAGAAATGAATTGTAGCGATATATGAAGATATTGCAAACAGTATAAAAATACGTGGGCGCAATAGCGAAATGCAACATAAATGAAGAAAAAGAGTACACAGCATCTGTTAAAGATTAATCCAAGATTAATCAACCAAAATTAATCAAGAGTCATCTGTATTCATGAATGGTACTTATGTGTGCGTACTCGCTGTTAATTTTTAACAATTGAGCGTAATGGTACGTATGTATGGAGGCGTGTATGAAGAGAAAATAAGACATGTATGTAGCACGTTCGTATGGTCGATATTAGTTCACCCCTTATCTTATTCTTCACCTCACGTGTACGGGTGCCGCTTATAAAGAGGGAAACGTTAAGTGAGCATGAGCACAGGTGGGGGATTTTGTCATCTTAAAGTAAATCAATATTGAGTTACGTCCACACTCTTGTGGGACCGGAAGTAGGAGCGCAAAAAAGGAAGGATAAAGCGTGGTAATAGGTTAAAATTCCGATGCGTATGTTTCATCATTTTAAATAAATATGGATTAGTTAAGTTGCCACTTCAATTGTCATGTGCATAATTTCTACTCCACCTCAATAGAGCATGTTCAGTTATTAATATGGCAAAAATGGTAAGAGCTATAAGGGTTCTAAACCAATTACCATGCGAGAATTAATTTCTTCCTTACCAAAATTCGGTAACGTTATCAGTCCCATGTTATCGACCTATGGGCTGCTTTATCTGCATATTTTTTATCGACCTGTTTGACCGACATTGTAACCGACCATTGTGTGTATCGACATGCAGGCCTCATGGTGCCAGCTGGTAGTTACCGACTCTTGCATCGACGTGAATGCTACGGGCCCCATGCCTTCGATCGATGAATCAGAGTCGTTAACAAAAAATGTTTAAAAAAATATATGATTAATGCTGTCGACGGCGTACTGGTATGCCTAGTCGGTATATCTCGTGTAAAGTTCCGGAGTTATCGGCGTATTCGTGCGCAGCCCCACCCCATGCCCCAGTGGGATGAAGTTTATTGAAAAAAAAACAGATGGAATGTACATGAAAAAATTGTCTATTTATTATAGTTTATAATTGAGTACAGAGATGAGAACAGTTGGAGTTCTGCTAATTGTTAATTATTAATTACTATATGTGAATATATGATCATTTGTATCTTCTTTTCATTGTCAAACTCTCATTAATTTATTTATTTATTTATTATTTATTTATTTATTAATTTTTTTATTATTTGTCATTTATTTATTTAGCCTTTTTGTTTTGGAAAATGACTAGTGTTGGTTGAAAATTTGGAAGTGATTTGTTTCTATGTAGATTGCTTTTTGTTTTCATCTGGGACTTCTTGGGGAAGACGAGAGTACGTTACTGAAGGGTAGCGGTCCATTTTATTTGAATGCTGGCTAATCCTTACATTATTTTATTTATAATATTTGATAGTTACGTTAGTTACACAGCCAAGAGAGTAATCTGGATTCTATGTTTGATCATTTTCAATCATGATTTTCAAAGGTTGCAGCACTTTTACGCAGAACCATCTTTGATATGTGTAAACCGAGTAACGAGGAATAATTTTCACTTTGAAAAGTTTAACTTTGAATTTTAGATCGGAATAAGTATATTCACGATTTAGATATTAAACTGAATATAAAATGTACATCCATTACCAATTTATTTCGGAAATAATTATCAATGGTGATGTGAATACATTCAGCAACATATTGTATAAAAACGTTTAGTATAGAATGACTAACATTGATCACTGTTACTTTTGTAGCTAGCCTATCAGTAATAGAACTAGGAATATCTTCCTGAGTAAGCTTATGACAAAGGTCCATTAAATATTCAGATGAGATGTTCATTTTTCTATTCTTTGTCATGTATCAGATATCTTTCAATAAGGCTGTAGAGTATTCAATTATTTTATGATTATTCGTTGATAGATTGAAAATGTTAGGAAAATGTGTCACCTTCGTCAATGAGTGACTGTACATAATCCATCTCTGTTTGAAGCGTAGAATCATCTACATTAAACGGTGTAGTAAGATATTCACGCATGCAGGCTATAGCCCGACTTTGAATATTGTTACTTGATGAACTCATGATGTGCCTGATGCTGCTATAGAGGGTAAATAGGCTTCAGCGAATCAATCGCGCTCCTTTTGTAACGGCAAGTGAGTCATGGAGAGGGTAAATGACTCTTTCAATTTGTGAATGTCAGAAAAAACTTTTTTGAATTTCATATCAAGTTCTTCTCGATGAAGATCAATCAATGTATGAATTTCTTTTAATTCAGCTTTCAATTTTAAAATAGACTTTTTTAATCTCTGTTAAAATAATCTCATATGAAGTTTTTAAATTTACTTCGTCAGCTCTTCTGAGCTTGCGTCCAAACACATGAATGCTCATTGTTTAAATGAATAAAAAGGGAAATGAATGGATGATAAATAGTAAATTAAAAATGGTAAATATCTTTAAATTTTTATTTATTCAATTATTGTCACTTAAACAAATTCTAATAAGCTGCCGCCATGGTACTTAAGCTTAACAATTCTTTTTTCAAGTGGAATGATCAAAGTTTTGTACGATTCCGGGTTCGCAATGAAGTGTTCGTTTAGTTTGTTCGGAAGGAAAACGTCAAACTCAGCCTCCAGTTCGATGTCAACTCTTTTTCGAATTTCGTTTGAACTTTTAAAATGCCAGTGATAGCTTCCATGATGAAGAAAAACCTGCAACATGTTACATTCGAAATATTAAAATTGGAAAAATTCTATGAGTACAAATTGATATACAATTTTTAAATGAAAAAAGAAAAGAGTATTCAATCTATATAAAGTATCTACTCTGAGCGTAGGCGAGCGAATGAATCGGTACCTTGATGCTTTTGCATATATAGGGTTAAACTCCTCATTTTAGTTGAAGGTGTCGTACCAATCACCCACCTCCACTTCACCTTCCTCAACGCATAAATCCAACATTTCTAGTTTGCTGATCATATCTCGGTACATATCATCATCATTATTCGACTCTGACGTTCAAGAATCACTATGAGAGCGGTCACAAGACTGATTTAGTTATCAAAAATAACTGTTTCTCAACCAGTTTTTAAGAGTCATAACATTTTCAAGTGCACAGTTTTCAGTCTAGCCGGAACAGTATAGGTTCACAAAATCCTGGCTCATGTAAGGAAGGACAACCCAGATCTTCGAGATCGAAGACATGATCAACAAATTTAGTAAGCCGCTCTACTTTTTGACGCCCTTTTACATAAATAAGGACTTCGTCAGTGCCTGTTGCTAAGTGACCTAGATCTTGCATAATATGCGGATGGCGATCGTATGGTAAGTTTTCCATATTCCAATCAGGCCCATAGAAGTTAACTAAGATGTCCTTCCCAAAGACATGGTGGTTTGAAAATCCAATGTGCGGATTCAATATTGTCAATGCAAGTTATATAAAAATTGTTTGATCATCGTACTTAAAGGCTTGAATATCAATGACGATTTTCATACCAAATCTATAACGAAAAAAAAATTAGATAGGAATATAGTTTAAGTCAAAAGTTAGTTCATTGATTGACATTTTTTCCACAACTTTATTAAAGAATTACAACGTGCCATAATCGCTGTGCTCGAATGAATGTGATGAAGCATTAATTTTGACGCGCATTTTATAAATTATGCCCTTCCACTTTTCATACTTTTTTGAATGTATAAGTTCCTTTTTCGTACATGTAAGTAACAGCACGACAATCCAAATACACTCACACGTCTATTTCTAATCAAGAGCCTTTATGAATGCGGCTAAGTTCTTTTTATATGCTACAAGAACTTTATCTCTGAGCGAATATAGTTAAGTTCCTTTAAATGAGCTTGTGTAGCGCGTGACTTATTACTACCAAGACACTCATGACTTATCTGCGAGGTCTGTTCAAAAAGTATCGCGAATTTTGAATTTCCGCGGGTTACGTAAATTTGATTTTTGATTTTTTTGTAGCATGATGTT